TTTTTTTTTTTTTTTAAATAAAGTCACGTTTAGTATCGATTTAAATTTTAATTTTAATTTAAATCAAAGTTAACAATTAATTTTAATAACATATTTCATGAAATTCATAACTATTTAACTTTTATCAAAATTTACTAAAAAATTGATTTTAATCTCTACCAAATTGGGGACAAAATCACAATAAATTTGAATGTTTATTTTCCTCTCGCATTTTAAAAAAACCTTAACCCTTCAATTTTTTTAAAAAATTGTGGATAATTTCTCTACAAATTTTCATATTTACTACAAAATTTCACTTTCCAATCAAATTTTCAAGTAATTAGAACCTAAATTTGCATTTTATCCTATCAAACTGTATGTATAGAATGTATCTGTACTCATTATATTCAATTTGACTTGTATATAACAAATTGTGTTTATTTGATTGATTATTAGTATTGAATATTAGTTATATGTTTTCCTTTCGATTACTTGAATTGATTGTTTGTATCAAATACATTATAAGATTTTTAAACGTAAATATGCATTTTCTTGCGATAAAAAAAATTAATAAAATGACTTTTCGAAATCAAATGGATGAAAATGATTAGCAAAATATTAATGAAGAAATGTTTTTAAATATAAATCTGCATTCTCTCGAATCAAGTATGAATTATTGAAAAATCAAAAACAAAATATTCGATTTGTATAGGGTTTGATTGTGCTCCCCTAATTCAAAATGTCTGTGTCCGTCCTTGGATCCGCCATTCTAGCAAATATCATAATTCCCTCCTTCCATAGTGTAAACAGTTCATATGCTGATAAAAGCAACGCAGGTCTATTAAATGTAAGCATGTCAAAACATGAATGCATATTTGGATAGGCTTAAAGTACAATATAATGGACGATGCGGGTTTTAACAGTACGTTTGATATTTGACTAAACATGATTCAGAAAAATAAACATGTGAAATATTTATCTGTCACTCAGTCAAGACTTGCATCTCCTTGTCTATCGATTCATTATTGCACGGGATTAAAAAAGAAAAAGTGGTTCAAATTTTATTTTCGTCTGCACCTTATTCTCCAGTTATGCATATCCTTTAAAAACTTTTTTGTTCTTTCTCTCTCTGAAAATTCAAAAGTTGAAGGAAGTAGATTCCATTGTTCTTTGTAACCAAGATTTTGGCATCTTTATAGATAGGCTGGGCGGTGCCTCCATTTTTTGCAAAGGTCTTTATACCCACCAATTGCTAAAATCATGAATTGAAGTGAAAGCATAGTTTCGAGTTGGAAACATACAAATATCATGATAAACATTTTCTTCGTAAAAGACGTTAGAATGAAGAAAAAATCATAGGAAGGAGTTTGTGTCGGAGACGAGAAGCCTAGGCGTGCTGTAAATATTAACCGCAAGGTCACGCCTGCTCTACGGCGCCACCTATTCTATTTACCTGCGCTATTTGGTCTCATTTTTCATTTTGGATTCCTTTTTTGACATTCTACTTCAATTACAACTCTAATATAAAGGTTTGGACGTCCCCTATGTATAGTTGGCTCTTCATTTTATTTTAGAACAAGTTAGAAGTTTTTAAACAAATTGTAAACACATAATCTTTATATTCTTTCTTCACATTATAATAAAATCTCTATTCTCTGCAAAATTACATTGTTCTTGTATTTTTGTGATCTTTACTTCATATCATGCCTATAATCTCGTATTGTCTTCAACAAATTGGTATTATATTAATCGGGTATCATCTCCACTTTTCATAACAACTACGTTCTAAATATGTAATTTGTTTATGCAAAAATATGAAACAATTAATCATTGATTATCTTTTTGATAATCTTATTGGTGCTTCCCCTAATGCGCATCTCTCATTATCATAAAGAAAAGCTACTTTACCATATATCCTAAACTCACAAGTGTGAATAGGAAATGAAGAGTAAAAAGTCTACCTGCTTTGAGTACAAGAAGCCACCAAAAACCTTTCTTTGCTTGAAGTTTGAACTTGATGCTATGATAGTTCTTGGATACATATGAACATGCATAAAGTGAGGTGGGGTGTGGCTTGCACTAGTGAAAAAGGATATGGGCCCAACTGTCTCATAATATTCCATCAATTACAAGTTTTATTGAATCATGAAACCATCAATTGCAAAGGAAAAAGGGACTTGTGGAATTACTATAGGTTGAATTTTGCTACTCAAGCAAAAATAATGATATTTATCATTATGATGATAGAATATCGGTGATATGACAATCTATGAAATTGGACAGTTTAATTTTTATGAGAGAAAGGGAGGAGAGATGAGCGAGAGAAATGTGAAGGATAATGAGTTGTCACATGATTGATGTTTCACCATCATGATGATAAATAACATTACTTTTTAAGCAATGACAAGAGAAAATAGAAGTCTTGTGGAAGGAAAAAAAGGGTATTACGAATCATGTCTATCTATAATGGGTAGCATTGGGTGGCATGAAAAAGGTGTAAGATGTAGTGCGATAAACGTTTATGTCAAAGTATAGAGTCCCATAGTAAATAGCTTTTGAGGTTAAATTTCTAGGGGTGGGGTGGGGGTGTTTAAAGGTGATGATGAGCTTGAGTCGTGTTAAATTGAAGGAATTATTATAAGTGTATCATTCTCGAGGTGTGATCTTATTTTGAATGTCTAAAATCAAAAGTTACTTATAGGTATAAAATAAGTTTGGCGAAAAAACCTTAAAAGGGTAAATTTGAATTCTTTAAACGCACCAAACTTGCTTTAATCAATTCAAATAAGTTACATTGGAATTTCTCTTTTTTTTTTCTTTCAGTTATTGTTTTTTTCTTTCTTGATTTATTAGTAACCAAATGAACTCTCTCTCTCTCTCTCTCTCTCTCTCTCAAATACACAAAGAAATAAAAAATAAATAATGAACTTTTTTTTAAAATCATTCTAAAGGTTAAATGAGTCTATATTTTCGGCAAGATATGGTATGCATATACATTTGTCGGTTGAATATCAATATGTCATATGTTAAATGTGAAACAAAAAAGTAACACTCCAACATAATAAAATTATTTTTTTCTCTCACAAAACAACAAAAAGATTAAGACTAACAAAAATGTATACATATTAATAGTGAGATTCATTCGAGGAACAACAAAGTATTTTTCCTTCTCAATTTCGATTCCAAAAAAAATTATAGTGGACAAATTGCGGTATACAAATTATTCTTCCCTTTCGATACATGAGTTTTGGTGCACTTATGGTTGTCTCCCTGTATGAATTTTGTGAAGAATTTTGTCTCCCTATATAAATATGTGAAGAATTTCCTGTATACTTAAAAAAAAATCCTCCACTACATCGGCATAGAAGTGTCAAAAGATAGTGGGGTTGAAAAAGGTCATTTTAGACTCGAAAAACGTGTAATAGGTTAATGATAGCGTGCGTAACCAAAATGTAATATGATGATACGATTTATTGACTAAATTTACCATTGGGACTACCCTTTATATATTTTGTTTTAATCCCGCCAACTTTAGATAAAATGTTGTGTGTACGACGTATTGGGTTTGTAGTAATGATCGAATAAAAGTTGAATAAAACACACTTGTAAGTTCAATAAACAGATGGATTTCAGACCCTACGAAGTAAATACAATACATGATATTTCGTTTATAGTCTAAAAAGCATTAAAATCAAATGAAAAGACCAATTCAATCGAGAATATGAAGAACTAGACTAACAAAAATAATAATTTCCTAACCATATTTATACAGACAAATACAAACAATCTCATTTGACCCCATCAAGTACTTTTTTTAGTCCGTTTGGAACGACTTTTGAAAATGCAAAATTTGATTTTAAGAATAAGAAATTATTTTTGAATGTGATTTGATAATTCTTTACAAGTGCTTTGTCGGATTAGACAAACTTTTAGAGGAAGCTTAGTTAAACTTTTAGATAGATTAAATGACCGGGGACGTGGAGAGACTTGAGAATTTAATTTTTAAAAAAATTAAAGGAAACCTCGGTTTTGAAAAATATATCACGGAAAAATATAGCAGGTTACTGTACCAAGAAAGCATATTTTACCCAGAAATCCTTGCAACTGATAATACTTCCATTGTCCCTATTTTCCATAAATTCCCTCCCTCTCGCTCCTAACAACAAAACAATACAAGAAACATTGCATGCTCCCTTCTCTGACACTTGATACTAAATTTTTTTATGGCTTTTTCTGAGGTTGTATCAGAAAGTTGCTCCATTTTTTTTCTCTCATTTATTATGTCATTCACATTAATTCAAGAAAATCAGTGAGAAACATTTATTATACCATTTTCCTTTTTTGATTTCGATATTTTTTTTGGGTTTTATGCTTTTATGTGAAAAGGGATTGTGATCCTTCCTTTTCGCGTTGAATTTGCATACAGCTTTTTAGTGTCACGCATACATAGTATGCACAATCCTATTCAAGATTACCAAAATTGAGGGAAACCAGTCAATTTCATACATATTGTCCCTCTTGGATTTCATTTTCTTTGCATAAATAAGATTTTCTTCACTTCTGAATTATTGAGTTTTGTTCATTTTAGCTGAAAATCTAAATTTTGCAGCATTTCTTGGGTAATTATTTAGATTCTTGAGTATAGGCCATTATTTGAAATCATCGATTTTGATAGAGAAGGATGAGAACAGGGTTGAGTACTATTCAGCAGAGTCTGACGCCTGAGGCAGCGAGTGTGTTGAACCATTCAATTGCGGAGGCTGGCCGCCGGAACCACGGCCAGACGACGCCGCTACACGTGGCGGCGACTCTATTGGCCGCGCCATCAGGGTTTTTAAGACAAGCATGCATCCGTTCTCACCCCAATTCTAGCCATCCGTTACAGTGCCGAGCGCTAGAGCTCTGCTTCAGCGTGGCCCTGGAGAGGCTCCCCACGGCCCAGAACGTAGCTCCTGGGATGGAGCCAGGGATTTCGAATGCGCTAATGGCCGCCCTGAAGCGTGCGCAGGCGCATCAGAGGCGGGGGTGCCCCGAGCAGCAACAGCAGCCGCTGCTGGCTGTTAAGGTGGAGCTGGAGCAGCTGATTATTTCGATACTGGATGATCCCAGTGTTAGCAGGGTTATGCGCGAGGCGAGTTTTTCTAGTCCTGCTGTTAAGGCCACGATTGAGCAATTGCTGAATTTGAATTCGAATGCGAATGTGAATGCTCATAATCATCATGTTGGTGGTGCTAATGTGAATTTTGGAGGAGCTTTTGGAGGTATTGCATCCAGGAGGCTATCTAGTCCAGGTCAATTATCAACACTGAGCATGCCAAAACCATCTGCAGTTGTTCAATTGCCTAATCGAAACATGTATCTGAATCCGAGGCTGCAGCAAGGGGATACGGGGCAGATTGGGAATCAGAGGAATGAAGAAGTGAAGAACGTGATTGATATTTTGTTAAGAACTAAGAAAAGGAACCCGGTATTGGTTGGGGATTCAGAGGCTGAGGCTGTGGTGAAGGAATTGTTGAGGAAACTAGAGAAGAAGGAATTGGGAAATGAAGGACCTTTGAGTAATGTTCAGACAATTTCGGTTGAGAAACATTTTCTATCCGATAAGAATCAAATACCCATGAAGATAAAGGAATTGGACTGCTTGATTGAGAGTAGGATTAAGAGTGGAAGGATACTTCTTGATTTGGGAGATTTGAAATGGCTGGTGAAGTATCCTGTGGATTTTGTTGGGGTACAGCAACAGCATATGGTTTGGGAGATGGGGAGGACTGCCGTGGTGGAAATGGCGAGGTTATTGGCCCGATTTGGAGGGGAGGGTAGTAATGGTGATCATAAGCTTTGGTTGATTGGAACAGCAACATGTGAAACTTATTTGAGGTGCCAGGTTTATCATACTACAATGGAAAATGATTGGGATTTGCAGGCAGTGCCTATTGCTTCGCGATCGCCTCTGCCAGGGATGTTTCCGAGGTATATTCTTGCAAAAATCTATTTGTAATAGTGCTTCAAACTGTTTAACTAGCCTTTCAACGAACGGCAGTAGAATTGTTTGTGTACTTGATTAAATCTTGGTATATTGACAGTTTGCAGCAATAGTATCTTTCAATTCTAAGGAATCAAAAGTCTCTGTTTACGTTCTTAGAAATATTTTTTGGTCAAGCTGTTAATTGTATTCATGTAATATAATCAAAGACAGATTTTTGACTATAGTACTGCTTATGCTAGTTTTTTGTGAAGTGTTTTCCTTTCTTCTATAGTTATCAATCATATCATTTTTCTGAATTGATTTGTGCATCTTAGGCTCGGAACTGAGAGAATTTTGAGTATTCCTATAGATTCTTCGACTTCACTGAAGAGTGTGCACCCAGTTTTGGCACAGCGTCTTTCGGAGAACTTGGATACTGCTCAGAGAACAACCTTTTGCCCGAGATGTTTAGAGAATTATGAAAAGGAGGTGGCAAAACTCATAGCCATTGAGAAGTCGTTTTCTGAAGCTAAACCAGAAGCCACTCGACCATCTCTGCCACAGTGGTTGCAAAATGCCAAACTCGAGAGTCGGGATGCAGTTGCAACTGATGACACACAAGTATGTTTTGTTCAACTATAACCTTAAACAACCAAGTTATATTCGCATGAAGGGAAACTAATGTCAGTTATATTTTTTACAGGGTAAAGATCAAGGCGTGCTTTCGAAGCAGAAATCTCTAGAATTACAGAAGAAGTGGAGGGATACATGCTTGAATCTGCATCCTGATTTTCATCATAATAGCTGTTCTGAGAGAACAGCTCAGGCAGAAACTCTATCATTGATGAGCTTGAAAAATCCATCCATGCTTGCTCATTATCCTTTCCAGCCTAAGTTGCAGAAGAGCAAACCACTTGGAGAGTCTCTGCAGTTGAACACAAATCAAGTTACCAGTCGCACTGCAGGTAGCCCCCCGGCAAGTCCAGTGAGGACGGATCTGGTTCTTGGATGTAAAGAAACTGAGAGTACACCCAAGAAAACTACTGAAGACCATGATAAAGATTCCATGGGTTTCATTTCCTATGAACCACATTCCAAATTTCTCGATAAGTTTGCAAGTGCATTGGATTCTGATTCATACAAAAACCTCCTCAAAGGCCTCATGGAAAAGGCGTGGTGGCAGGCAGAAGCAGCATCTGCAGTGGCTTCAGCCATAACACGGTGTAGACTGGGCAATGGAAAGCGGCGAGGTGCTGGATCAAGGGGCGACATATGGTTATTGTTCACAGGCCCTGACAGAGTTGCGAAGAAGAAGATGGCGTCAGTACTTGCGGAACAAATATGTGGGACCAGTCCAATATTGACTTGTCTTAGCTCACGACGTGATGATGAAGACTCAAATATGAATCTCCGTGGTAAAACAGCTATTGATCGCATTGCAGAAGCAGTTCATAGAAATCCATTTTCAGTTATCATGCTTGAAGACATTGATGAAGCAGATATTCTGGTGCGTGGGAGCATAAAACAAGCAATGGAGAGAGGTCGACTCACTGATACTCACGGCCGTGAGGTCAGTCTTGGCAATGCCATATTCATTCTCACGGGAGATTGGTCGACAACTCATCCTAAAGATGGTCATTTTGTTGATGAAAAGAAGCTTGCCTCCATAGCAAGTGGCAATTGTCAGTTAGGACTCAAAATCCAAGAAAAGAGTGCAAAACGCCAAGGAAATTGGTTTTCGTATGAAGATAGACATACAAAGCCTCGGATTGAAGTTGGAGCCAGCCTCTCGTTGGACCTAACTCTTGCAGTAGACAATGAAAATGAAACTGATGTATCTCACAATTCAAGTGATCTCACCTTTGATCGTGAAGATTTTCTAGGCCTTGAAAACACACATTCGTCAATTACATCAGTATCTCATGAGCTAGTCAGCAATGTCGATGATTCCATAGCATTCAAGCGAGTCGACCTCGCTTTTGTTTGCCGCGAGATCAAGAAAACAATCTCGGTGAGATTTTCCATGGTTGTGGAAGACAACTTGCCCTTAAAGGTAGAAGACAATGTTATAGAAAAGATCTTAGGAGGGCTATGGCACGACCGAACCAGTCTACAAGAGTGGATAGAGAAAGTTTTAGTTCCGGGCTTCGACCAGCTCAAGACATGTCTACCCTCTGATGCTGGTAGTAAGGTTGTATGGCTCGTGATCGATTCAGAATCCGGTGGCCGAGGCAATGGAGATAGGTTGCCTAGTAGAATCACAGTAAAAGGTTGAGGTAATTTTTTATTTCTCCTTGGACAATGATGTAAATATGGCACCATTAGGCAGAAGGTTAGGAAAGGTTTTTTCAAGTGTTGTTTTTCAGAAATATTAACTTTCATTGTTACATTTAAAAGGATCAATGAAAAGACAATGGTTTTCTCAAGTCTTGTTACGTTGGAAAAATTGTAGCATTCTTACCTTAAAAATGTACAATTTAATCTTCTACCTTTTATTATAACAGTTGACATTAATGTGTTTCTATGAGAGAACTTGAAATGGATTGGTTTAATCGAAAGCTTGCATCCATGGTTTTAAACCCCTTCGCTCCTTTACTTGTTATAAAATGCGTTCAAATATTAGTTAAATTGTCGAGTGATGCTATGAAAGTATGTCCAGTTTCAATTTCTAAGTATCATCTCGAAATTAAAAATAAACTCTTTAACATGTTTTCATCATCCATACTGATTGTGCAATTACAATGAAAGCTCGAACGCCAACTTGTTCATCTTGAAAGGGTTGAAACTTGAGCATCAAGTTGTTGCTACTCTGACAATAGAATGAGTCGAATAGTGCAATTTTTCGTATTTTGTTTTATTACGAGGGGACATTAGGGTCATTTGACTATTAAAGACTAGATAGATTTACCAACTGATGTGATTGCTTGAAGTAATTGACGGTCAAAAATGAGCTTTTTGGACTTTGGTTTGATTATCATCACCAAAATGTGGGCCCCATTATTAGTAAGTTGGCGAAAACTGGTATTTGCACGTGCAACATGTCCTCTCCCACATCCCTGAAAATATTTTCTTAAAATTCACTTCCTACCTAAAATAGAAAAATAAATAAATAAAGAATTCATGAATGACCCATCTACATATACTTCGCTTACAAATTATTGTAACTAGTAATAACTATTTTTCTTTTTCAGTCGATTCTCGATATTTTAAATATTGATTAATAGGAACGAGTCATGTATCGGAACGGCATGACAAGAACCACACAAACATTTTGAATTTTAGCGAAATTGGCACATCCACATATAATAGTCGACATAGACATAGCTAACAAACAACCGCCCTCTTTATTGCCCTCACCTTGAGACCATTGAAAGACAATATTAATTAGAAACACAAATTTCGCTATCCCACGCCACCTCTCCAAATTAATGCGTCGGCTTCCCAAAAAGGGACATTTTCTTTGAATCTAGACACACTTAGAAAGATCAAATGAAGTGCAACTAATGAACACGACAAAAATGTTGCAATCTTTTGCTTTTTTCTTCACTATTTGTGTCATATGGTCCATTTGACTCTCAAACAATGCATGTGTTTACATTTATGATCACCTTTTTGTAGTTGAGATTGCTATCGTTTCACATTGTCCCAACTCGGATTGGCGTTGGCCCGGTAAAAGACATCCCATGTACGTAAGTTACTAGTGACGTGATTGACGGATTAAATGACGTGGTTGAATTATAGATTTTCATCTTAAAATATGATCAACCTTGTAAAGGGAAATCTGAAATTTTATACATATTCTAACAAAAATGGTGGCTCATCTAAGAATATCAATGTTCAAATTTTATTGCTAGTATGAGCTTTAAGTCGTTCGAATTATTAGTTTTAACCTTTTGAGTTCATAAACTATATCGAGTCTCGAAAATCATCTTAAAATGTCAATTTTGTTGGATCGAAGTGTAACTCAAGCGCTTCTACGTTAATTATTTTTACCGTATTAGATTTCATCCTTTAACAATCTCGTAGCCACCTTTTCATGAAAATTATAAAAGTATCAAGGTGTATGATATAAATATAAGCCCCCGTTTGACATCTATTCCCTTTCCATTTTCTTTCTCATTCTCTTTTTCTTTCTTCATTTCAACCACACATCATATCAATAAAATAATATTACACATAAATCCAAATATTCTTTTTACTTTTCAACCACAAATTCTTCCCATCAATCACTATTTCAGAATTTATTCTTCACCAAAATAGATGTCAAACACACCCTAAATCTAACTTATACACAGATATGTTAGAAAATAATTTAAATGTTAGGACCTACATATTCAACGCAAACATTAATGTGCATTAAATAAAAGGGGAAATGGAAAGACTAATGCCACACAAACTCTATCCAAAGAGTTAGGCTACACTTACGGCCTTTGTACACAACTTTGTGTACAACCCACTCAGGCAGTATACAAAGCCGTGTACAAACAGCATTCTCCCTATCCAAATTCCATCAAAATCCGGAATGCTTTCCAAATTGTCAGCAAAATAAGTCAAACAAAACTAATTTTTGTATGCATTGAGAGCACTATGCAATGGAAAATTATTTTCGAATTTTGCAAGACCGGATTAAATGTGAATATTATGAAAATAGAGCAAATAATATCGTGTTTAACTTCAAGTAATTACTAATTTAATTTGGAATTGTAGAAATACAAAATACGATTAGATTCACAAATGAGTAAAGAGTCGTGGAGATGTGAAAAACAAAAATTAGTAAAATAATTCTATGCACATTCGCGATAAAATTTGTCACCTATCAACGGTTTTAAAAAACCATCTCTAAAGACGTCGAAAATATTGTGTAAAAATGAAACAGATAATTCCCATGCTACTTCTTCATACCTAAGAGATTTCAATATTTTATATAAAATCATATTTGAGTTGAGTGATCATCGATATATAAATAAAATATGTTACATTAAAAAAAAAGGAGAAATCAATATAATAATAATAATAATAATAATAATAATAATAATAATAATAATAAATCATCAAAATAGAGAGTAATGTTGAAATAAATAAAAAATAATAATCTTTAAATTAAAAGATAATCTCTATTATATATAAAATGTTCCTTAACATATTTAAAAAAACACAACATTTTATGGAATAAGGAAAGGAGATATCTTTTATTTAATAAGGAAAATAAGTTTAAATTAATAATTCACAGAAAAGCTAGTTTTTCTCTGGACCCGAAAAAAAAAAAGATGGTGTCTTGGCGGAGCTTTACGTCGCCAACCCTTAACAACTTTATACTAGTTGTCTTTAGCTCATGTCAATTCAACCTCTTTGCAATAAAGACAGTTTAACTCTCTCGACTAGTCTCATTTTCTCTCTCTTATATCTAAAGATTAAGCATGCTTGGATAAGAATGATTATAAGTAAATCAATACTGGTTTAGCATGGTTCATAGTCTTTTTTATATTCCGTCAAATTCATATTTTATCCACATATTTAACGAGACTCACAAGTACTATTCGTCATATTCGTGCTCCTCATGTCATGTCTTCCCATATATCTTCGAGTGATCTAGTCAAGTTTTTAAATACGACAACCATGTCTTCAATCACATCAATGACAAATCAGTTATGTTAAATTTGGCCAAACGTTCGAAATTTATGTGGACACATTAATGACCATAAAAAATTATCATTGCATATATTAAACAGAGTTAGAGTTGTTAAGATTTGAGATTCCATCTTAAAATGTTATTCTTATTAAGAGGAGTAACCGAGTTAGAGTTGTTAAGATTTGTTTTTATTTTTATAATTTTATTTATTTTGATTAAATTTTCATCCTTATTTACCAAAATATTTATTTTTTTGACATTACAAACTAAAAACTCATTTCTAATCTTTTAAATTATTAATTTGCAACCAATACAATAAAAAATATGATCATGAGGTTTTCAAATTTCATAATGCTCACGTAGAAGCAAAGTACTATAAAAGAGGTGTTGAAATATGATTAGGGTTGTAAATGAATCGGATCTGCCTATATCCGATTCGATCCAATAAAGAAATTTATTTGATCGATAATCTGATCTGAAATTAATAAAAATTAGGAAAAAAACTGGGAAAAATTCAGTTATCAGATATTATCTTTAGACTATTTCAAAAATAACAAAACATCTTTTAAGTTTCTGAAATCAGAGATTGACAAATATATATATATATATATATATATAACCCACCCCTACCGCTCCCGCGACCTCTCCGACGATCGTTTCGACGACTACTCCGATTCCGACAACTATTCCAGTGACCGTTTCAGGCAACTGCTTCGATTATGACGAATATTCCGGTGACGTGAATTTTTTTGTACGGTCACAGGTCATAGCCCAGATCATAGATCACAACACATGATTTTTTTTTTTTTATAATGATTGATAGCTCATGTCTCACATTTTGTTCATAGTCACAACACAAGTCACAGAATATATTGCATAGGTCACAGCACAATTGTTCATAGTCCCATGTTATTTTTAGACGCTCAGATTTTTTTTTGGATAGTCACAGTATGGGTCACAACATATGTCACAACACATGGCCCAGGTCACAGCATAGGTAACAGCACATCGCTCGAGTCACAAAATTGGTTACATAGACTATATAGCACCACCTCACCACCACCACCGTCTTATATGCCTTAATCCTACTCTGTCGCTGCCACCACGGCCGACAACTCACCACAACCACCATTACTAACGTCGCCAACACAGCCTCACCAATTGACGGCAAACCAAAAACCATGACAATCTCCAGCACCAACAATATCGCCGCCACGAGCATTACCACAGAAATTATTAGATCCACAA